CCCCCACCCACCCACGCCCCACACCCACACCCACCCACACCCCACACCCACACCCACACACCCTATTCCATAGCCACAGCCGCACCCACACCCAACCCAAACCCACACCCTCCCACAGCCACAGCCACACCTACCCACACCCGCACCCACCCGCACCCACCCACACCCTCCCACAGCCACACCCACCCACACCCACACCCACACCCACCGACACCGACATCCACACCCACACCCTGTATATCACTCAGGCAGACAAAATTTTGAGAAAATACGTTTAAACGCACTAAAGGGACGAAAAATTGGCGTTTTTGGCTCACAATCGGAAATCTCAAATATAAGCCAAAAACGTTCATTTTTTTTACTGATTTTAGCCCAGTTTCTGTGCGTTTAAACGCGTATTCTCAAACGTTTGTCTGCCTAGGAATACAACGAACCAAAAATAAAGAAATTCAATGCTTGTACATGCAGGATTTTGTTAATATTTTCGTCAAATGTAAGAAGTTAACGATCAGAAAAATCATTTGTTAGCTGCTGTAATAGACTGGGTTATTGGTTCTTGAAGGTTTTTTGTCTTTGGCTTGGACGTCCATTTCGCATATTTCTTACCCAATGATGTCTTATAAAACTCTCTAGTATAACTAGTTGATGGCAAAACATATAAGACAAATCCAAGTGTTTGTGGAATATAGGAAATTAAGTAAGTGACAAGAAGGATATGTCTTTGCCAAGTAATCAATTGCACACAAGCTAGACTGAAAGAGAGTATCGTTTGTGGTAAAGCGGATACGATGATAACAATTGGTGTCATGTAGAGTTCTTTGTGCACGTTGAACTGTTTTTTCAATACTTCCGCAAAGGTCGTCTTCTTACCAGCTGTCTTTGCTCGACTTCGTGCAACTTGTACGACTAAGATGGTGATTGCTATCACTTGGACAAGGAAGGGAATGAGATGATGCAAAAGCGTGTTTACTCGATCATAACTGGCCACAATACTCTGTCCAAAGTTAGTTACACAAGTTGGGTATAAGATTCCGGCTGATGAACAGTGCCATAAAAGAGAATTTCGTGAGTGTGCATACCAAAAAGAGCAAGAATGGTGCTAGTACTTATGTAGAGGATAATACGAGGATTTTTGGTAGTGGTACTCATAGGAAACAAGGTCATTAAGAGACGATCAACAGTAATCCAACTTGTCTGCCAATAAGTCGAACGAGTAACTGTAGATAGAAGATAACTTACGACTTTGCATGACGTGTCAGTCGTCCATCCTAATGTACCCAAAAGCACGTGGAGAAACTTGAAAAAAAGAAAGAGGAGAGCACATTGATTGAGGACGGTGAGAACAAAAAGATAGTTTCCAACTCTGTATTTGCGTGGTTCAGGCCGCTTGAAAGTAAGAAGCGAGCATAGGTTGTTAAGAAGACCAACAATGGACAGAACAAACGTTAGAACGATGTAAATTGCCTGAACACTCATCGACTCCGACATGAGGAGAGAGTCAAGAGTGAATCCGAAAGCTTGCATGCTGAATTCACACAGACGTCCCTGATGACAGTGTGGGCAGAGGCATGTGAAGTCTCTGGGATTTGTTAGATCTCCTTTAAAGCATTTTCCACCTGACAAACAAAAATCACAACTATCTATGAACGGATCATATATAAGACATAAGACATGAGTATTATTCTCTTGACAAAGACAGAAGTAAGCCGTGTCGTGAAAACACAAGTGATGGCTGTGATTGCGGCAAATATGATGACACCTGAACAGACCGGGTATTCTGGATGCTTCATCTAAAACCGGGAAACACGTGGAAATTTCCTTTAAGATTCAAACATTTTACCTTTGGACAAGAGGAGCATAACATTTGGACAGAATCGAGGTGCTACAGTGATATTGATAATCGTAACATTTTCTTGAACATAGAGAAGGTAGTAGAGAGGATCTGAAAAGCCTTCGTATATCTTCAGTACACCCAAAAAAGGAGCCTTCTGTCGACCATGATTATAATGAATCATACGAGGCAACCCAATGGTCATCTGTTGATGTTGAATAGCTAGTTTCCTTCCTAAAGTTTCATAGTTATAGAACTGAACAATACTAACACTTGCTGCTAAGCTCATATTCGCATCAATCACATCAATTACAATAGCGACTTTTTTATACTGGCATTGATCACCATAGAACTGTGCTGAGCATTCACAAATGAATGGTTTGTTGCCACTCGGATCGTACGTTAAATGACAAGTTGAATTCGGACTACATGGATTTGATTGGCACCCTTCATTTCGTATGTGACAGCTAGATCCTAAATGACCCAGAGGACATATGCACAATGGATTATTCGAATATTTTATCAGACCACGTTGACCAGGCCGACATATGGAATTTGATAAGCAATATGAAGAACACTTTCGTTCATACACTGAGCAGTTTTCGCCGCTGTAGCCAGATCTACAGGAACAGTAAAATTGCCGTTCTTTGTTAAGGATAGGTTTGCAAATAGAATTTGTGTGACATGGATTTTGAGTGCATGGATTGAGCGTAGAATTTTCAAGCCAAGAAGGAAATTTCAACACAGTCGCAAGACGAAACGCTGGAAGATAATCAAAGTAGATCGGATACCGAAACGATCCTAGTTCAATTGTATCATTAGTATGGAGTGCATATACGTGAAAGTGCACCGAATATGGATGGTTATTGACGACATCTGTGCGGTTCAAATAACGCCATTGTTTGTGCTTTAACATCGTTACTGAACGAGAATAAAGAAGGTAAAAGCGTTGTTTAACATAGTTTTTTGTTTCTAACATTGGATTAACATAAAAAATATGATGATCGATGTAATTTTCGAAAAAGACTAAGCTTGCGACAATTTCGAATCGAGTTGTAGAAAGTGCTGGAAATTTGGTGAGATCAAGATGCGTGATTATAGTAAGACGGTCTGAGAAGTATTCACAACGATTACCATAATAGGCAGGTGGACAGAAGCAGCACATCGCAGCCTGAGAGTAAATGGCGATGCCTCGATTACATAGAAATGATCGAATATCAGGTACAGTATCTTGGTTTTCTCGATTTTCACGCGTATTAAGTACCATATCTTGTGGATGTTTAATTTCTGCTGTCCATACTGACTTATCACGTCGCTGAATTGTAGGAACAAATGATGGAAACGTTGGTAGATTAAATTTGTAAATGTCATTCTTTGTTTTTTTAAATCGATATAAGGATCTACTTACGAGACCAGAATATGGAGAACACCAGTATTCATCTTCTCCGTGCAAGCATTGCTTGATCCCATCGCACCGAGCATTTTTGGCACATACTCCATTAAGACATACCACATCTTTTGTACCGTAGCATGTTGCATCCTTGCTTTTATACGAGCATAGTAATGAATTAGAGCATGTTTGAACAACACAAGCAACATGATATTGAACGCATGAATTGTTGCATCGCAATGTGTAGCCCAACATTCGGCCTCCACAGTCTTCTAATGTATTTTTTTCGTCTACACCGCCATAACAGTCGGCGATTCCGTCGCCAATCTGAGTGAGATTTATGCACGGTCGATATGTATGAATATCGAGAGGGTCGAGAACATATG